CTTCCCTCCCCCCGCCACCGCACTTCCTTGTGCCAGGTCCCCCCCCGGTAGACCCCCTTCCCCCTCAGGGTCCTGCCCCTTCAGGTGTGTCCCAGGTAGACGCAGTCGAGCCGGTCGAGGTTGCTGGTGACTCTGGTCCTGCTGCGGGTGCTGAGCCTGGGGGTGCTGACTTTGGGGGTGCTACGCGCGTGGGTGCTGAGCCTGGGGGTGCTGAGCCTGGGGGTGCTGAGTCTGGGGGTGCTGAGCCTGGGGGTACTGCGACTGGGGGTGCTGAGCCTAGGGGTGCGGAGTCTGGGGGTGCTGAGCCTGGGGGTGCTGTGACTGGGGGTGCTGAGCCAGGGGGTGCTGCGTCTGGAGCTACTGAGCCTGGAGCTGCGGAGCCTGCGGCCACTGGACCTCCCCTTGTGGCGTCTGGCGGTGCGGGACCTGGCGGTTCTCCGGGTGCTTCGCCTCGGCGGGAGCCCCTCTCTCCACAGGAGCTGCGCGAGTGGTTTGCTCGCCGCTGGAGACGTACTGCTGGAGCTGGAGCTCCTTCGGCTGCTGAGGGTACTTGTGCCGCTGGTCCCGGAGCTGCTGGGCCCTCGGGTCCGCCTGGAGCTGGAGCTGCCGCGGGTGTTGGTGCTGAGACTGCTGCTGTCCTTCCTGGCGGTGGTCCTGCTGCGGGTACTGCTGGTGCTGCTGGAGGTACTGGAGCTGGAGGTGCTGTTGGCGCTGGTGCTGCTGCTGAGGGTGCTGTCCCTGCTGTGTCTGGAGTCGCCGCGCGGCCTCGGCCGTACTTCGTTCCACTCCTACAGCAGGTTCTTGGTCTTTCTCCTCCTGCAGCGTGTCCACAGCCTGTTCAGTCACAGTCCCAGTTAGAGCCCGCCTCCCCACTTCCTGCTCCCTCTCCTTACACTGGTCCCACTGGAGGTCTTGCTGAGCGTCGTGAGCCTGCGTCTCGTCCTGCGTCGCCTGTTCGTGCTGCTCGCGCTAGTGGTCGCGGTTCGCGTCAGCGTCCTCCTCCTGTCCCTGGCACGCACCGGATGTCTTTGCGTCCGTCCACTGCTCCTCTGCGTGCCCCTTTGCCTTCTCCTCCTGAGTCCTCCCTTCCTGCACTTACCGACCCAGAGTCCGACTCTCTTCGTGCTGCTAGTCCTACTGTCACACGTCTCCTTGCTACTGTCGTCACTGACCCCTCTTTTGAGTCCACTGCTGCGTCTGCTCTTGTTGCTGAGCTCGTCGACTTTGCTGCTAGCTGTCGTCTAGACTACGCTGCCGGTCTTGTTGCTGAGTCTGCGTCTGTCTGTCCTCCGTCCGTCGGGGGTGAGTGTGCTCTTGGCACGGACGTCCTTGAGGACAGGCAGGAGGAGTTCCAGTGTCTGGCTGCTGCTTCACCTCATCTCGCGTCCGTACTACTTGCCCCTGAGGGAGACCCGGATGCACTAGACATCCCGACTCCGCGCTCTTACGCGGAGGCCGTAGAGGGTCCCTACTCCTCTCAGTGGCAGGCAGCTATGGATGCAGAGATGGCGTCCTGGAAGTCCACAGGCACCTACGTTGACGCGGTTCCCCCTCCTGGGGCGAACATCGTCAGTGGCATGTGGATCTTCAGGGTGAAGCGGCCGCCGGGCTCTCCACCTGTCTTCAAGGCGCGGTACGTCGCTCGTGGCTTCAGTCAGCGGCAGGGAGTTGACTACTTTCAGACCTTCTCTCCCACCCCGAAGATGACCACTCTTCGGGTGCTGCTGCACATAGCCGCTCAGCGCGACTACGAGCTCCACTCTCTTGACTTCAGCACTGCTTTCTTGCAGGGTAGCCTGCACGAGGAGATCTGGCTGCGCCGTCCACCTGGCTTCACTGGGACTTTCCCTACTGGCACCCAGTGGAGCCTCCGACGGCCAGTCTACGGTCTCCGCCAGGCACCGCGTGAGTGGCACGACACACTGAGGACTACGCTTGCGGCTCTTGGGTTTGCTCCCTCTACGGCTGACCCGTCGTTGTTTCTGCGCACCGACACTTCTTTGCCGCCGTTCTACATCCTCGTGTACGTCGACGACTTGGTCTTTGCCACAGCTGACACTGCTGGACTCGCCCACGTGAAGTCCGAGCTGCAGAAGAGACACACGTGCACAGACCTGGGTGAACTGCGCAGCTACCTTGGCTTGCAGATCACTCGGGACAGAGCACGCCGCACCATTACCTTGACTCAGTCACACATGGTGCAGCAGGTCCTTCAGCGCTTCGGCTTCACGTACTCCTCGCCTCAGGCCACTCCTCTGTCTACTCGCCACTCGCTCTCAGCTCTGCCTTCGGATGAGTCCGTAGAGTCGAGTGGCCCGTACCCAGAGCTTGTTGGCTGCCTCATGTACCTGATGACCTGCACACGACCTGACCTTGCATACCCTCTTAGCATTCTTGCACGCTATGTTGCTCCTGGGAGACACCGACCAGAGCACATGGCTGCAGCGAAGAGGGTGTTGCGCTACTTGTGCAGTACGTCGGGCATGGGGCTAGTGCTTGGAGGGCGGAGTCCAGTGGTCCTCACTGGGCACGCGGACGCTTCTTGGGCTGACGACCAGGCTACGCAGCGGTCGTCGCAGGGTTACACCTTCAGTCTTGGTTCCGGCTCTGTCTCGTGGCGGGCTACTCGCTCGTCCTCTGTTCTCGGCTCCAGTTGTGAGGCTGAGATCTACGCCGGGGCCATGGCTGCACAGGAGCTTCGCTGGCTCACCTACCTGCTGACTGACCTTGGAGAGCCGCCTCGTTCTCCTCCAGTGCTGTACGTAGATAACAAGGCCATGCTGGCCTTGTGTCGAGAGCAGCGCTTGGAGCACAGAACGAAGCACATTGCTCTCCGTTACTTTCTTGCTCGTGAGCTGCAGCAGCGTGGTCAGTTGCGACTTGCGTACGTGGCCTCTGAGGCCAACACTGCTGATGTGTTCACCAAGGCACTTGCGCCTTGTGACCATCAGCGCTTCTGCACTCAGCTGGGTCTTGTACCTGTCTTGCCTCACTTGCTCTCCTCTTGACCTTGCTTGTACTGTCACATATATATACCTGCTCTTGCTTGTCTAGCTCTATATATATATGTGCACTCCTGCATGTGAACTGGCCTTGTGGCTTTGTCGTTGTGCTCGGACTGTGTGGTGACTTTGTGATCCACCCTGAGCTTGCTGTGCTTTGCGTGACTGGTCTTGTGACCCCTTGTTCTCCCCCACTTTGCCTATGGGGGTGTGTCAGAACATATATATAGCTTATGCTGTTGTGTAGGCTATAGTGGGGTATCCCATAGGGGGTACAACCCAATTAGGGTTTCCTATATGTACTCATTTCATTCATAGTTCATTCATTCTTGTTCAAATCTTCTCAATTCTGACACAGAGTCTATTGCAAAAGCTGATGTGGCTTGCCACAACTACCTGGAGGATTTGGCATGACGTGGAAAGCATGTATCCGTGACTATTTGTGAATCCACGAAAATCGCGACTGTTTGTGATATATCATAACTTCAGCACAGCTGCCCGAATTCGGAGGGGAAGGGCGGGAAAATCGGGTTGGGGGTCGGGCGCAATCGAGGTCCATCCAATTAAGGAAAACGCCCACGTGGCGAGGTCGGAGTAATTTAGGTCGATGCAGTTGAGAGAAACAAGATTTTTGCCGATGCGCGTCATTTCGCCCAATTCCCTTTGCTGTGATGTAATTGCAATTTGGGGCTGGCCTCAAGTAGCATTGCGGCACCACCCGATCGGAGATTGTGGTGTCACTTGTTCATGAACGAACAGAAACCCTGTGTTGGCTAAATCCGCATTAAAAATAGCACACTAACACCTGAATACATCACATTGCTTACATGCTTTCATAGACTCAGACAATGAACTGTTATTCCTGCTTGATTCACCTAATGAAACAGGTAGCCTTACAATTTGCAGCCGCAAATTCTGTGTTTATTTGAATTTCAACTACGTCTATCATTTTTTAGATTCTTATGAAAACTCAATTCTGCACTGAAACTGAAGGTTTCCACATCTCATGAATGTTCTTTGCAGAACTAGTTTTTTCAAAGAGCTGATGGGAATATTTTTTTATAAAGAAAATCATGTTTATAAATTGTGTGACATGCATCAAGTTTATGTCTTGTTTTAGCAACAGCCTGTACTGTCATGATGATTACCAATATTTTGACTCATCACTACAAAATAATCGTGTATCAACTTCAGGCCAAACCATACTCTCTGTAAGCTCTGACCTCGAAGACTCCAGGCGACCCCTGCCAATTCCGCAACATCAAAAGCTTTGGCTCTCCTATCCCACTCACGTCCACCCCGCCTCCATCTTGCCTCCACCTTTTCTCCAGCTCGCCTCCAGCTCACCTTCAGAAGTCTCTCACACACCTTCTCATTTTCCCCCAGAAAGGCTTCATTTGTGGAACTGTGTCACGTTCGTCAGAGTCACAACATGTCTCCATTGCCAGCATTGCGAAGGCTGATTCCAGCAATGGCGACGCCACGCCTTGGTTGCCGCAAGATTGGTTCAAGCAGACGCATAGCTCTCAAAGAGCTTAGCAGCTCTGTCGTTCAACATTGCCTGCTTTCGCGATGCACTTCCGGTTTCTCGGCCACTCCTACCTACAGCATTATAGACTCCATCTTGACTTCCCCTTCCAACCCTGGCATGACGTTCAGTCACTTTGCCTTCGTAGTGCCGAAAGTGACATCTATATTCGCAATGATCTCTAAGGCTTCTTCTAGGACGAGGCAATAGGTAGTCCTGTATGCGTGAACAAGCAGGATAATTCCCTGCATATACTTTTGACGTCCTAAAGAGACGTTGAACAAGCAATCGAATACTTCAGAATTCTCGTTGACCATCCAACCAGCGCGCTCCGACGCGCAATCGCAAAGTCCTCTTCAAGAATCATGGGGAGTTCGTCGAGTACCACGACTAATCGCGTAGTTCCCGGCGGCAATCCCGAGAAACGGCTGGCTCCGGCGGCGATTCTGTTTCTCGCGCTGTTTCTCCAAATGGTGGGCTGGTTCGGGCCGCCGCACTTGACGGCGGCAAACGCGCAACCGCTGGACTACTCACAGGGTACACGCGCAACGCTATAGTAACGAGCCGAACGATTATTTTAGGATATCATAACCAGAAAATATGTACTGAAACCATGCGTTGGAAGCATGCATTGGAAGCATGCGTTGTAATCATGCGTTGTAATCATGCGTTGTAAGCATGTGTTGAACCCTCTTCTTTGAGAGACGCAGCACCTTCCTACGGCAGGACCACATTACCAAGGTGTATTTTGAGGAAAATCTTGATGATTTTCCTTTGCTCCCTCATTTATGCAGCGCTTGCATTGGAGCAGATCTACTGGAGTGGGGTGTTGAGTCCCCTGGGGGAGGAGCAGCTGGATGGGACTGTAGAAACACCACGTGGCTCTCATGCACTGCGGATGGCTTCGTTACTAGCATGTGAGACTGATGAATGAACTCCTTTTAATTGCCAACCAAGTGAGTCGCATGTTTGCAAATTTGCACTGCACTCGAATATAACATGTGCGGAGTACATACATACGGATGGATAGTCAGCAACCCGCAAGATCGTGAAATCAAATCCTATCATGTAAAGAGGGCGATCCTTCATCCTCCTGCGTATCCTTCACTTCCCCTCCACAGGGCCATCACTGGCACGGGCCCCCCACCCAACGATCTTTCCCCCCTTCCCCCCTCCCCAGGACCATCACTGTTACGCCCATCAGTGGGTCCCTTAAATCGCCATCAGCGCCCGCCTCCCTCAACCCTGATCTCCCCACCATTCCCCGTTACCCACCCAACCATCTTTCCTCCCTCCCCTTCCCCCCTCTCAGGGCCATCACGGACATGCCAATCAGCGGGTCTCTTCTAGATGCCATCAGCAGCGCCCTCTCCTCCCTCACAGCTCTGTAAGGGTCTTTCTAGGCGACTCAAAACTTCCCCCAACCATTCCCTCGCTTCCCCAATCTCAGGGCCATCACGGACACGCCCATCAGCGGGTCTCTTCTAGATGCCATCAGCAGCGCCCTCTCCTCCGTCACAGCTCTGTAAGGGTCTTTCTAGGCGACTCAAATCTTCCCCCAACCATTCCCCCCCTTCCCCCCTCTCCCAGGGCCATCACTGACACGCCCATCACCGGATCTCTTCCAGACGCCTTCAGCGCGCTCTCTAACCTCTCCTCCCTCACAGCGCTGTCTTTTGAGTCGACTCGAAAGCCCCCCTCCTCCCCCCAACCCAACCACTCCCCTTCTTCCCCAATCTCAGGGCCATCACAGACACGCCCATCACCGGCTCTCTTCCAGACGCCTTCAGCGCCCTCTCCTCCCTCACAGCGCTGTAAGTGCCTTCTCCTCCCTCACAGCGCTGTAAGTGCCTTCTCCTCCCTCACAGCGCTGTAAGTGCCTTCCCCTCCCTCATAGCGCTGCAAGTGCCTTCCCCTCCCTCACAGCGCTGTTAGTGCCTTCCCCTCCCTCACAGCGCTGTAAGTGCCTTCTCCTCCCTCACAGCGCTGTAAGTGCCTTCTCCTCCCTCACAGCGCTGTAAGTGCCTTCCCCTCCCTCACAGCGCTGCAAGTGCCTTCTCCTCCCTCACAGCGCTGTAAGTGCCTTCTCCTCCCTCACAGCGCTGTAAGTGCCTTCCCCTCCCTCACAGCGCTGTAAGTGCCTTCCCCTCCCTCACAGCGCTGTAAGTGCCTTCCCCTCCCTCACAGCGCTGCAAGTGCCTTCTCCTCCCTCACAGCGCTGTAAGTGCCTTCTCCTCCCTCACAGCGCTGTAAGTGCCTTCCCCTCCCTCACAGCGCTGTAAGTGCCTTCCCCTCCCTCACAGCGCTGTAAGTGCCTTCCCCTCCCTCACAGCGCTGTAAGTGCCTTCTCCTCCCTCACAGCGCTGTAAGTGCCTTCTCCTCCCTCACAGCGCTGTAAGTGCCTTCCCCTCCCTCACAGCGCTGTAAGTGCCTTCTCCTCCCTCACAGCGCTGTAAGTGCCTTCCCCTCCCTCACAGCGCTGTAAGTGCCTTCTCCTCCCTCACAGCGCTGTAAGTGCCTTCCCCTCCCTCACATTCGCACCCCAATTCGCAACACCATGCTTTGTGGTCTTGGCTCGAGCTGTGACCTCCCCAAGCACCTTACTCCCCTCTTGTCCCGCTCCCCTCCTGCTCCTCCCGCCCCTCCCTCTCCTCCCTCCCTTCCCTCACCTCAATTCGCAACACCATGATTTGTGGACTTGGCTTGGCCTTCCCAAGCACCTCACTCCCCTCATGTCCCGCTCCCATCCTACCCCTCTCGCCCTTCCGCCCCTCCCATCCCTCCCCAGCACCATCCGCAACACCACCCTAGCGGGTCCTCTCCCTTCCGCCCTCCAGTCTCTCTCTCTCCCCCCCATTGCCTGCTGTCCTTCCCCCTTTCCTCCCCCCTCTCCCCTCCCCCTCCCTCCCTTCCTCTTGCGCTTCCCATTCCTCCCTCCCCCCTCCCCCCAACACTATCCGCAACACCACCCTGGCGGGTCCTCTCCCTTCTGCACTCCAGTCTCTCTCACTTCCTCCTGGGGCCTGCTCCTTTCACTCCCCTCGTTCCCCTCCCTCCCCTCCCTCCCCTCCATCCCGTCATCCCCCCCCCTTCCCTCCCTCCTGTCCCTCCCCTCTCCCCCTTCCCACCCCCAAGAACCTTACTTACCCCATGACTCCCCTCCCGCTCCTCCCTCCCCTCCCCAGCACCATCCGCAACACCACCCTGGCGGGTCCTCTCCCTTCTGCACTGCAGTCTCTCTCAGCGCTGCAATACCTGTCAGTCCACTTCTTATCTTTGGCCTAAGCGACACAAATTCCACCCCTAGTCACCCCTTGCATGTGCTCTGTCTACCGCACTGCATCTCATCCCAACACCTTATCCCCAATGTCCACCCATCTCTCTTTCACCCCACCCCACCCCACCCCTTGCATGTCCCCCTTTTCCCAGCTCCATACCCTATAACAAGTTCTCCATTACCATTCCTGAGTACCTTGCTTTCGATTCTAGCCGCAATGACCACCCATCTCTCCTCATCTCACCTCACCCCACCCCTCTTCACCCCCTTCCACCCCCGTTCCCAGCTCCATACCCTATAACAAGTTCTCCGGTACCATTCCTGACTACCTCGGCTCGCTGTCCGACCTTTCCTTTCTGTGAGTGCCAAGACTGGCTTCTTGTGATGTAATTGCCAAGGCTCGTGGCGGATTGGTTCCGTCCGAGTGAAGGGCGAGTGGCAGGGGGGTTGCAGTGTTGACTTTTGAGTCGACTCAAAAGTCAACTTGGCTTCTTGTGATGTGATTGGCAAGGCTCGTGGCGGATTGGTTCCGTCCGAGTGAAGGGCGAGTGGCAGGGGGGTTGCAGTGTTGACTTTTGAGTCGACTCAAAAGTCAACTTGGCTTCTTGTGATGTGATTGGCAAGGCTCGTGGCGGATTGGTTCCGTCCGAGTGAAGGGCGAGTGGCAGGGGGGTTGCAGTGTTGACTTTTGAGTCGACTCAAAAGTCAACTTGGCTTCTTGTGATGTGATTGGCAAGGCACGTGGCGGATTGGTTCCGTCCGAGTGAAGGGCGAGTGGCAGGGGGGTTGCAGTGTTGACTTTTGAGTCGACTCAAAAGTCAACTTGGCTTCTTGTGATGTGATTGGCAAGGCTCGTGGCGGATTGGTTCCGTCCGAGTGAAGGGCGAGTGGCAGGGGGGTTGCAGTGTTGACTTTTGAGTCGACTCAAAAGTCAACTTGGCTTCTTGTGATGTGATTGCCAAGGCTCGTGGCGGATTGGTTCCGTCCGAGTGAAGGGCGAGTGGCAGGGGGGTTGCAGTGTTGACTTTTGAGTCGACTCAAAAGTCATCTTGGCTTCTTGTGATGTGATTGGCAAGGCTCGTGGCGGATTGGTTCCGTCCGAGTGAAGGGAGAGTGGCAGGGGGGTTGCAGTGTTGACTTTTGAGTTGACTCAAAAGTCAACTTGGCTTCTTGTGATGTGATTGCCAAGGCTCGTGGCGGATTGGTTCCGTCCGAGTGAAGTGCGAGTGGCAGGGGGGTTGCAGTGTGTGGGGGCTGGGCTGGGCTGGGTCACTGGGTGTGGGTCAACACAGCAAGCAGCCTGTCCTGACTACCTCGGCTCGCTCTCCAACCTCTCCTTCCTGTGAGTGCCAAGGCTGACTGTGGTTTTATTGTGAGAGGGACGAGAGGAGGCCGAGCGACAGTGGAAGTGCGGTGAATTGGGCTGGGCTGGGTCACTGGGCGTGGGTTAACAAGCAAGCAGCCCGTCCTGACTATTTTGGCTCGCTCTCCGACCTCTTCTTCCTGTGAGTGCCAAGGCTGATTGGTTTGATTGTGAGCTGAGAAGAGGGTGAGAAGAGGGTGAGCGGCATTGGAATCGCGGAGGGACGCGGAGGGGGCGAGCGAACGCTCATGGGAAAAACATGCACATGGCGTTCTTACAGTGTTCACCTATGCATATGTGTGTCCATGCGCACATGCATGCATGCTGCATTCATCCATCCATCCATCTATCCATCCATCCATCCATCCATCCATCCATCCATCCATCCATCCATCCATCCATCCATCCATCCATCCATCCATCCATCCATCCATCCATCCATCCATCCATCCATCCATCCATCCATCCATCCATCCATCCATCCATCCATCCATCCATCCATCCATCCATCCATCCATCCATCCATCCATCCATCCATACATACATACATACATACATAAATACATACATACATACATACATACATACATACATACATACATACATACATACATACATACATACATACATACATACATACATACATACATACATACATACATACATACATACATACATACATCCACATACCGCCTCTCCCTGCAGGGACGTGTTTTAGAGCTTTGGCACGTGACATGTTTCACTCACCACAACCCTCATTCATCTATCCTCTGTGCCGCACCTGCAGGGACGTGTTTTCCAATGCCTTTGAAGGGCCCATCCCTGACTCGCTCACTCTTCTCACCAACCTCGTCCTACTGTGAGTGTCTGGAAAGCCTTTGCCTCTACTTCACATCACACAAGGTCATCTCACAGACCTCCTCCGTCCCTACACCCGTCACGCTCACTCTAATCACCAACCCTTTGTCCTGCTGTGAGTATGAGAGAAGGCACGCCTCAGCTCTACCCGTCAGTCATCTTCCATCCTCCATCTCCAATCACTCTTCACCTGTCTAGGGCCCGTAACCCTCACACTCACTCACTCTACTCACAAACCTTGTCCTGCTGTGCTCTACTCTCCCCATCACTCATCTTCCATCCCTCCATACCTCGATGACCCATCTCTCACCCTCTCTTGATGCTACCGTGACAGCAAGATAGGCAACTGGCACCTCAACGGGTCCATTCCAGGCGACATAGGCAACTTGAAGGCGCTCACCTTCCTGTAAGCAAGGATTTGCAGGGATTTAAGAAGGGTGGAGAGGGTTGGAGAGGAGTGGAGAGGGGAAAAGAGGGTGGCGAGGGGTGGGAGTGATGGAGGGGCAAGATAGGCAACTGGCACCTCAACGGGTCGATTCCTGGTGATATAGGCAACTTGAAGGCGCTCACTTTCCTGTAAGCATGGGTTTGCAGGGATGAAGAGTGGTGCGGGAGAAGTGGGGAAGGATGGGGAGGGATGGAAAGGGTTGGAGAGGGATGGAGGGGCAAGATAGGCAACTGGCACCTCAACGGGTCCATTCCAGGCGACATAGGCAACCTCAAGGCACTCACTTTCCTGTAAGCAGGTGGTTTGCAGGGATAAAGAGCGGTTAGGAGGGGCGGAGGAAGGGGGAGAGGGGAAACAGGGATTCCCCCTTCTCCCTTCTTCCCCAATCCAGTGAGCTGCAAGGGGCGGATATGGATGGGCCCTTCCCAGAGTCCGTCACTCAACTCACCAACCTTGAAAGCCAATCACTGCCCCCCTCTCACTCCCTCCCTCTCCCCCCTTCCCCCTGCCTCTCCCCCCTCCAGTGAGCTGCAAGGGGCAAACATGGACGGGCCCTTTCCAGACTCCGTCACGCAACTCTCCAACCTTTAAACGCCAATCATCCTCTCCCCACCCTCTCCCCACCCTCTCCCCCCTTCTCACTTCTCCCTTCTTCCCCACTCCAGTGAGCTGCAAGGGGCGGATATGGATGGGCCCTTCCCAGAGTCTGTCACTCAACTCACCAACCTGGAACTCTTGTAAGCATGGGTTTCTGAACTCCAGAACCTCTATTTTTGCTGGTGAATCTGCCCTTTGCTTCGGGTTACCCCACTCCAACGTTTTCTCCAGCCTTACCCCTCTGCCTTCCTTCCGTCCTTCCTTCCTCCTTAGCACCCTGAAAGTGCTACCTAATCCATCCGCTCAATCTCCTAGCAACACTCTCGACTTTCTCTCTCTCCACTCCACTCCCCTTTTTTCCTCCCCTTTCATCTTCCTTCCCCTCTCAGCCACTTGGGTTTGACAGGCCTGCATGGCTCGCTGCCGGATGGAATCGGCGATCTGACAAAGCTGAGCAACTTGTGAGTTGTAAGGGAGAGAAATTCTACTTGTAGAAGTGTAAATGCCGACATGTTTCCGTAACCGTTGAAGGGGGGCAGTTGAAGGAAGAGGATACATGTCACCATTGAAGTGACATGTCTGACCAAGCCAAGGCACGTAGTAAGCAACTGTAAGGACAAATATTCTCCATCCCTCTTCATACGTTGATCTCCCTTTCTATGACCCCATACCATCTGCTCTTCTGTCGTTTGAACTTCAATCACTTGTCATATCTTCCCCCTTTTTCCACCTCTCTCGTTCTTCTCTCTTCATTCCGCTCTGCTTGTGAACCCATTCGTCCAGTGGGGTACACAGGAACCGTCTGTCTGGCCCCATACCATCCACTCTTGGTCGATTGACTGCCCTCGTTCGACTGTGAGCCTCTAAACCTCCCTTCTTCATCCTTCCTCTTCGATCCTCCGTTTTTCACTCTCCCACTTGAATCCCCCCATCTTCTATGCCCCGTTCCCCATTCCCCATCCCCGTTTCCGATGCCTCACTCACACCATCCCCCATTTTAATCGCATCCACTCTCATCAAATTGACCACACCATCGTTCAACTGTCGCATGTAGTATTCCTCTTCCTTCAACTGCCCCCTTCAATCGATCCTCGCTCATTTATTTCGATTACCTGTTTCCCATTCCTCATTTCCCATTCCTCATTTCCCAACGCTCGTTCCCCAGTCCATCCTTTCTCATTCCCCATTTCCTCATTCCTCGGTCTCCAAACCTCACTCACGGTTTTCCCTTTCCTCGTCCAGAAATTCCCCCCTTCTCAATGCTCGATGACAACAGCTTCAATGGAGCCATACCAACCTCTCTTGGAAACCTTACTCTGGTCGCTGTGCGCTACTAATCCTATCCCCGCTCCCCCATGCCTCACTAATCCCCCATAACCCACCACCAATCAACCCCAGCGAGCTCGACGACAACAGCTTCAATGGGGAGCCGTACCAACCTCTCTTGAATCCCCCATCCTCCCTCTTATCCGGTCACCAGACTGTGCGCTTCTTAATCCTATCCCCACGTTCCCATTCCCCATCCCCACACCACCCAGTGAGCTGGATGAAATCAGTTTCAACGGAACCGTACCACCAGCTCATTCCCATTCCCAATCGCCACTTCCCAGTTCTCATCCTCCGTTCTCCACCAATCCCACCCAGGGAGCTCAATGACAACAGTTTCAACGGCACCATACCAGCAGCTCTTTCCCCAACACTCGTCCCCCATCCCCCACTCCCAATACCCCCCATCCCCCATATCCCCACCCTCCAGTGAGCTTGATGACAATAGTTTCAACGGAACCATACCACCCTCTCTTGGCGATCTCGCCCTCGTAACCAAACTGTACGTCTTGTATTTACCCAGAGGTCGTACCCATCTCAAGGTATATTTATGATTTCCCTAGCTTTTGTAATCAGGTCACCCGTTATTGGCAGCTCTTGGCAATGTCGCCGTTGTAACCAGATTGTACGTCAAAAGCTTAACCAGAGGTCGTAGACCCGTCTCAAAGTACATTTGCTTTTGAGTCGACTCAAAAGCTTACCCAGAGGTCGTAGACCCGTCTCAAAGTACATTTGCTTTTGAGTCGACTCAAAAGCTTAACCAGAGGTCGTAGACCCGACTCAAAGTACATTTGCTTTTGAGTCGACTCAAAAGCTTAACCAGAGGTCGTAGACCCGTCTCAAAGTACATTTGCTTTTGAGTCGACTCAAAAGCTTAACCAGAGGTCGTAGACCCGTCTCAAAGTACATTTGCTTTTGAGTCGACTCAAAAGCTTAACCAGAGGTCGTAGACCCGTCTCAAAGTACATTTGCTTTTGAGTCGACTCAAAAGCTTAACCAGAGGTCGTAGACCCGACTCAAAGTACATTTGCTTTTGAGTCGACTCAAAAGCTTAACCAGAGGTCGTAGACCCGTCTCAAAGTACATTTGCTTTTGAGTCGACTCAAAAGCTTAACCAGAGGTCGTAGACCCGTCTCAAAGTACATTTGCTTTTGAGTCGACTCAAAAGCTTAACCAGAGGTCGTAGACCCGACTCAAAGTACATTTGCTTTTGAGTCGACTCAAAAGCTTAACCAGAGGTCGTAGACCCGTCTCAAAGTACATTTGCTTTTGAGTCGACTCAAAAGCTTAACCAGAGGTCGTAGACCCGTCTCAAAGTACATTTGCTTTTGAGTCGACTCAAAAGCTTAACCAGAGGTCGTAGACCCGTCTCAAAGTACATTTGCTTTTGAGTCGACTCAAAAGCTTAACCAGAGGTCGTAGACCCGTCTCAAAGTACATTTGCTTTTGAGTCGACTCAAAAGCTTAACCAGAAGTCGTAGATCCGTCTCAAAGGACATCTTTTGTTCTCCTAGCTTTCGTGATCAAACCCCCTAAACCTTCTCAAGTGCTTCGTAATTTCATGTCCAATTCCTTTCCATCCCATCAGCGTTGACCTCTCTTCCTGCATTTCTCTGCCCCCCCGCCTCTCTCCCCTCTCCCCCCTCTCTCCTCTTCAATCCCCAATCCCCTCTCTCTCAGTAATCTCAGCGCCAACCACTTAACCGGCACAGTTCCCCTATCCCATCAGTGTTGGCCCTTCTTCCTGCACCCCTCTTCCCCCGCCTCTCTCCCCACCACTCTCCCCCCAAACCCCACTCTCCTCTCTCAGTAATCTCAGCGCCAATCATCTAACTGGCACGGTTCCCCCATCCCTCGCTGATCTCACTCGAGCTACCGTTTTGTGAGTGGGCATATTTTGATGTGACATGACATATGAGTTGACTATATTCGAGTTCACTCGATTCCACTCGATCCAAACTGAAACGTTGAGGCAACTACTAGAGCCACTGTATTAGAAGCTTTCATTGCCATTCCCCCAATCCTTTTCCCCGATTCATTTTCCCCACATCCCGACTCCCCAATTTCTCTTCAAGTTCCATGCTCGCGTTGCCATCTCTCCTCATCTCCCCCACCCTTTCCCTCCCCGCGTCATCATCATCCGCCTTTCCCCGGAATTCAAGAATCCTTTCAACTGCTCCCTCTCTCCTGTATGAACAGTTATCTCAAACTACATAATGCTCCTACTATCCACCCTCTCCCATTCATCCCCCCATCCCCTAGCTGGTCTTCTCATTCATTCATTGAAAGGGTCTTCTCCTTCAAAAGCCCTTTCAACGGTTCCACCTCTTCTGTGTTGGTCCTTCCCCGATGCTCTCATGACATCATCACCATCATCATCCTCATCATCCTCATCATCATCATCATCATCATCATCAGTCGTCGTCGTCGTCGTCGTCGTCGTCGTCGTCGTCGTCGTCGTCGTCGTCGTCGTCGTCGTCGTCGTCGTCGTCGTCGTCGTCGTCGTCGTCGTCGTCGTCGTCGTCATCATCATCATCATCATCATCATCGTCATCATCGTCATCATCATCATCGTCCTCCCATCCCCAGGGACGTCTCCAAGAGCTCCCTCCCTCCTGCCTCAACAGTGATCTCTTTTGCCTTTTGAGATGCCTCAAAACTCCCACAGCCACCCCTCCTCACTCAAATCTCATCATTCACCCCTCTCGTTCCCCCCATTCCCAGGGACTTCTCAAAAAACCCTCTCAACGGCTCCCTGCCTCCTGCCTTGGGCGCATTGAGCAGCCTTGCAAACATGTGAGCTCACTTACAAGAGCGTTTGTGAGTTCCCTTAAAAGAGCGTAGGGCTTTTGAGACGTCTCAAACCCCCACCGCCCCCCTCCCTCCTGCCTTGGGCGCATTGAGCAGCCTTGCAAACATGTGAGCTCTCCCTTACGACCCTACTTGAGTTCCCTTTGAGCTCCTTTGAGTTCCCTCATATCATAGGAACGTTGTATAAGAGATTATGTAAGCTCCCCATTTCTCCCATTCTCCCCATCCCCTCCTCTCCATGTCTACACTTTCTCCCATTCCTCACGTCCACTACACGTCCCTCTGCAGGGCTTGAGTTGAGTGCATCTAATCTACGGCACATGGCTCGAGTGCCCCGCCAACCAGCCATGCGGGGTGGAGCAGACCCATTGAGATTCCTATGTGTACCCAGCTACCCTCCATGTCTCCAACTCCTCTTTTCTCCCATTCAACCCATCCATCTCTCAGCTCTCTCTATGGCACATGGCTCGAGTGCCCCGCCAACCAGCCATGCAGAGTGGAACAGACCCCCCACTCGGCCTTCTGCCAGCTCTGCTCGGGCTTCTGCAAAGAGTGCAGCTCCTATATGGGTGAGTGAGCACGCCGTACCGAACAGGGTGCATGGACGCATGAAGCGTGCTTACAGCACAGCACATCACATAAACTGGTTGACCAGTTGGTTACTCGTGATGGTCCAGGGCTCACCCCTCACTCACTCGGCCTTCTGCAAGCTCTGCTCTGCCCTGGCTTCTTCAGGCTCTGCTCCTCCTAGACAGGCGAGCAGCGCCTTTTGAGGCGCCCAAAAAAGAAGTTGCCTTTTGAGGTGCCTAATAAAGAGGTCGCCTTTTGAGGCGCCTAAAGAGCTCTGCCCTGGCTTCTACAGGCTCTGCCCCTCCTACACAGGCGAGCAGCGTGGTACACCGAACAGGATGCATGGGTGCATGGATGGGTGCATGGGTGCATGGGTGCATGGTTGCATGGATGGGTGCATGGGTGCATGGATGCATGGAACGCTCTTAGAGCATATACACTGGTCATTTCGCCCTAAACGAACATTGTAAACGTTTGGAGCACACCCCTCACTCACTCGGCCTTCTGCCAGATCGCCCCAGCTTCTGCAGTCTCCCCGTAGCTCCTGCACACGTCAGTCAGTTGGGCATATTGTGAAAGGTTTCTCAATACACTTGCTTCTCACGACCTGTTAGGTTCATTTTTCTCCTCTTTTTATGTCTCCTGCATCACCTACCCTGTCTCTCTCCCTGCAGCTGACATCTGCAACTCCTTTCCTGTCAACCCCTGCGGCCTGGGCACTTGTGTTTCAAATGCCAGCAGCAGCAGCAGCGGCGGCAGCAGCATTAGCAGTAACAGCAGCACCAGCAGCACCAGCAGCAGCGGAAGTGTCAGGAGCAGCAGGAATGGTATAATTGCTAGCAGCAGCAGCAGTGGTATCAAGTCCAGACGCAGCAGTATCAGGGCCAGCAGCAGTGGTAACCCTACTGGTTACACCTGTACCTGCCCAGCAACCACCTCCCCAGGCACTCTCCCTGACGGCAGTGCCACCTGTGTCCCCAAGACCATCTCTCCTTCCCCACCCTCCTCCCCCTCCCCTCCTCCCACCTCTCCTTCCCCTCCCTCCTCTCCATCCCCCTCCCCTGCAACCTCCTCCTCTCCTTCACCACACGCGGAAGCCCCCCCTTCTGCCTCTCCACCCTCTCCTCCCTCCTCCTCCCCCTCCTCCTCCGACTCCTCCTCTTCTCTTTCGCTCGGAGTGATCGTCGGTGTAGCAATCGGAGCAGGGGCGCTTGTCATTGCTTGTCTCGCCCTGATTTGCATCCTCGTTAAAGGCAGACCTGCTACAGGGCCCAACTCAGCTGGTGAGTTTCCCACACCTCTCCACCTCTCCTCCTCTCTTCCTCGTCACTGGCAGATCCGATACAGGGCACAACCAAGCCTAGGACCCCCCTTTCTTCCCATATATGATGTGTTACAGGCGACGGACAGCTGGGCGAGCTACAACCTCTTTTGGGTCAAGCCTATGCTCTCCCTCTCTCCCATGTACACCCCAGTCACGAAACTATTTCGGCGCTACAGCCTGGCAGAGGTGCTACAGGAGACGGACAGCTGAGCGAGCCATTGTTGAATCAGCTGTTGTTGCCTACTCCCCCCATCTGCCCCAGTCCCAGGCCTGTTCCGGTGCTACAGCCTGATTGAGGTACGACAGGTGACAGACAACTGGGCGAGCTACAACCACCTCTTTCAAGTGAACCCATCCCTTCACCTTCCCCTGTCACATCCCTCTTTCTCAGTCCCAGGCCTGTTCCGGCGCTACAGCCTGAGTGAGGTGCTACAGGCGACGGATAACTGGGCGAGCTACTACCACCTGGGCAGCGGGGGCTATGGGGACGTGTACAAGGGTGTGCCGCCCAGTGCTTGAGTGGGCGGGGGAATGGAGAGGGGGAGGTGGGCTACGGGGACGTGTACAAGGGGTTTCCTTTCTCTTCCAACTCTTTCCCTCTCCCCTCAACCCTTACCCACATATTCTTTCAGTCCCAGGCCTGTTCCGGCGCTACAGCCTGAGCGAGGTGCCACAGGCGACTGATAACTGGGCGAGCTACAACCACCTGGGCAGCGGGGGCTATGGGGACGTGTACAAGGGTGTGCCGCCCAGTGCTCGAGTGGGCGGCGGAGGGGGCGGAGTGGGAGGAGTGGGAGGAATGGGGGGAGTGGGGGGAGAGAGTGGGGGAGCAGGTTTGGCAGGAGCGAGTGTGAAGGAGACTGCGAGAGGGAGTGAGAGATGGAGTGGGATAGGGAGTGGAAGGGGAAGTGTGTGGGGGAGCAAGAGAGGAAGGAGTGGAGAGGGGGAGGTGGGGATCACAGTGGAGGCGGGGGAGCCGCAGGTGTGGGCAGTGAAGCGAGCCAAGATACGCACCAACGACTTCCACAAGGAGGTGAGCTCCCCCCTTTAACCCTAAACCAGAACCATACATGTCTTTGAACACAGAGCAGGGGAGCCACAGGTATGGGCGGTGAAGCGAGCCAAGATACGCACCAACGACTTCCACAAGGAGGTGAGCTCCCTCCTTTAACCCTAAACCAGAACCATACATGTCTTTGAACACAGAGCAGGGGAGCCACAGGTATGGGCGGTGAAGCGAGCCAAGATACGCACCAACGACTTCCACAAGGAGGTGAGCTCCCTCCTTTAACCCTAAACCAGAACCATACATGTCTTTGAACACAGAGCAGGGGAGCCACAGGTATGGGCGGTGAAGCGAGCCAAGATACGCACCAACGACTTCCACAAGGAGGTGAGCTCCCTCGTTTAACCCTAAACCAGAACCATACATGTCTTTGAACACAGAGCAGGGGAGCCACAGGTATGGGCGGTGAAGCGAGCCAAGATACGCACCAACGACTTCCACAAGGAGGTGAGCTCCCTCCTTTAACCCTAAACCAGAACCATACATGTCTTTGAACACAGAGCAGGGGAGCCACAGGTATGGGCGGTGAAGCGAGCCAAGATACGCACCAACGACTTCCACAAGGAGGTGAGCTCCCTCCTTTAACCCTAAACCAGAACCATACATGTCTTTGAACACAGAGCAGGGGAGCCACAGGTATGGGCAGTGAAGCGAGCCAAGATACGCACCAACGACTTCCACAAGGAGGTGAGCTCCCTCCTTTAACCCTAAACCAGAACCATACATGTCTTTGAACACAGAGCAGGGGAGCCACAGGTATGGGCGGTGAAGCGAGCCAAGATACGCACCAACGACTTCCACAAGGAGGTGAGCTCCCTCCTTTAACCCTAAACCAGAACCATACATGTCTTTGAACACAGAGCAGGGGAGCCACAGGTATGGGCGGTGAAGCGAGCCAAGATACGCACCAACGACTTCCACAAGGAGGTGAGCTCCCTCCTTTAACCCTAAACCAGAACCATACATGTCTTTGAACACAGAGCAGGGGAGCCACAGGTATGGGCGGTGAAGCGAGCCAAGATACGCACCAACGACTTCCACAAGGAGGTGAGCTCCCTCCTTTAACCCTAAACCAGAACCATACATGTCTTTGAACACAGAGCAGGGGAGCCACAGGTATGGGCGGTGAAGCGAGCCAAGATACGCACCAACGACTTCCACAAGGAGGTGAGCTCCCTCCTTTAACCCTAAACCAGAACCATACATGTCTTTGAACACAGAGCAGGGGAGCCACAGGTATGGGCAGTGAAGCGAGCCAAGATACGCACCAACGACTTCCACAAGGAGGTGAGCTCCCTCCTTTAACCCTAAACCAGAACCATACATGTCTTTGAACACAGAGCAGGGGAGCCACAGGTATGGGCGGTGAAGCGAGCCAAGATACGCACCAACGACTTCCACAAGGAGGTGAGCTCCCTCCTTTAACCCTAAACCAGAACCATACATGTCTTTGAACACAGAGCAGGGGAGCCACAGGTATGGGCGGTGAAGCGAGCCAAGATACGCACCAACGACTTCCACAAGGAGGTGAGCTCCCTCGGTAAACCCCAAACCTCAAACCCTATGCTTTTAAACACAGGGTAGGGGAGCCTCCTCCTCCTCCTCCAGCCCCCCCTCTTACCCTTTACAGGTAGAGCCGATGGGTAGTAAGCATCATCCCCATCTGGTGCGTCTGCTGGGGTACTGGATTACCACCGATGCCAAGACTCACCTCCTTACCACCCTGGGCTCAAAACAACCCCTCTCAAATGGTCCTTTGTATTAATGCGGGTAGAGCTGATGGCGAGCAAGAATCACCCTCATCTCGTCCGTCTGCAGGGGTACAACGGACGCCAAGACTCACTCCTTACCACCTTCCCCCGAACCACTCCCCTCTCCCCTCTCCTCGCATCACCCACACCTGGTCCGCCTGCTGGGCTACTACGTTACAATGGACGCCAAGACTCACTCCTCACCACCTGCCCCCTAACACTCCCCCCCATCTCCTCCGGCCCCTCTCTCCTCCCGCTCCCCGTACACAAGTAGAGCTGATGGCGAGCAAGCATCACCCTCACCTGGTGCGCCTGCTGGGGTACTGCGTTACCACAGACGCCAAGACTCACTCCTCACCACCTGCCCCCAAACACTCCTCCCTCTCTCCTCCCGCTCCCCCTTCACAGGTAGAGCTGATGGCGAGCAAGCATCACCCCCATCTCGTCCGCCTGCTGGGGTACTGCGTTTCAACGGATGCCAAGACTCACGAGCAGGAGCAGATCATCATCTATGAGTTCATGGAGAATGGGGATTTGGAGCGTGTGTTGAAAAGTGAGAATACGTGTGTATGCATGTCTGTGCGTGCATGCTGTCTCAGAAGTGGTCTGTGAGTACATAGGAGCACACGAGCAGGAGCAGATCATCATCTATGAGTTCATGGAGAACGGGGACCTGGAGCGCGTATTGAAGAATGAGTTTGCATGAATACCTGCCTCGCCTGTGTAGAAAGTAGATTTTTGAGACGTCTCAAAAATATACTTTGTACACCTGGAGCGCGTATTGAAGAGTGAGTGTGCATGATTACTTGCCTCGCCTGTTACAACAAACGCCAAGACGCACGAGCAGGAGCAGATCATCATCTATGAGTTCATGGAGAATGGCGATTTGGAGTGCGTGCTGAAGAGTGAGTAGTATACCGCATGTGTGCATGTATGTGTGGGTTTGTATGCATGTGTTTCGAGGCGTCTCAACAGTGGTCAGTGACAGTGAGCACATAGGAAAGGAGCACAAGCAGGAGCGTATGTGCCCACATGGAAGCAAACGAGCAGGAGCAGATCATCATCTATTAGTAGACTAGTGCTATAGACCGCTACTCTTAGCAGGCTTGCTGCGTTTTGAACCCATCGAATTTCAGCAGGAGCAGATCATCATCTACGAGTTTTGAGTCGACTCGATAGTACACTGCGTATGATTGTATGGGTTGGCACGTGAGGTGACCGTGAGTACATAGGAGCACATGAGCAGGAGCAGATCATCATCTATGAGTTCACGGAAAATGGGGACCTGGGGCGAGTGCTGAGAGGGGTCTGAGTACCTTCATAGCTCAGCATTGATGTCTTTGACTCCCCTTCCTTCCCTCTCCTCCCCACCTCTCCCCAACTTACTGAGTTGTGAGACGTCTCAAAACTGCGTGCTGAGAGGGGTCTGAGCACCATCATAGCTCAACATTGATGTCTCTGACTCCCCTTCCTTCCCTCTCCCGCCCCACCTCTCCCCAACTTACTGATCAGACCTTGCCTCGAGACCTGTGAGCCTGCAGCAGCGGCTGGAGATGCTGATTGGAGAAGCGAGGGGTCACAAGTACCTTCACAAGTACCTTCACAAGTACCTTCACAAGTACCTTCACAAGTACCTTCACAGCAGCAGGCATGATATGAGCATCTCTGATTTCACTTCCTCTTCCCTCCCAAATTCTATCAACCAGACCTCGCCTCGAGGCCCGTGAGTCTGCAGCAGCGGCTCGAGATGATGATAGGAGCAACAAGGGGTCTGGGGTACCTTCACAGCTTATCTGCGCTGTTTCTCAAGTTCCCCTCCCTTTTCCCCTCTCCCCACCCAAACTTACCATTCCTTCAGACCTCGCCTCACATCCCGTGAGCCTGCAGCAGCGGCTGGAGATGCTGATAGGAGCAGAGAGGGGCCTGGACTACCTACACAGCTTCGTACACCTCTGCTTGTGTCATTCTCTCCCGATCTCTTCCATCCCGACTCCTCTGCTCCCCCACTGCCCCCATCCCCAGACCTCGCTTCAAGGCCTGTAAGTCTGCAGCAGCGGCTGGAGATGATGATAGGAGCAGCGAGGGGCCTGGGGTACCTTCACAGCCCCATAGGGTCATTCTTCCGGCCCTTGTCTACCCACCTCCCGTATCCCACCTTCAGACCTCGCTTCACGGCCTGTGAGCCTGCAGCAGCGGCTGGAGATGATGATAGGAGCAGCAAGGGGCCTGGAGTACCTTCACAGCTTCTCAATGGTGCATCGAGATGTGAAACCAGCCAACATTCTGTTAGACGGCAACTGGCAGGTATGTGTGTGTGAGTGAATTGGTACATGTTGTATCACACTCAGCACTGATGGGTATGGAGTACCTTCATAGCTTCTCAATGGTTCATCGGGACGTGAAACCGGCCAACATTCTCTTAGACGGCAACTGGCAGGTATGTGTGTGTGAGTCAATTGGTAGATGTTGTTTTATCACACTCAGCACTGAGAGGCCTGGAGTACCTGCACGGCTTCTCAATGGTGCATCGGGATGTGAAGCCAGCAAACATTCTCCTGGACGGCAACTGGCAGGTGCGCGTGTGTGAGTCAATTGGTAGATGTTGTTTTATCACACTCAGCACTGAGGGGCCTGGAGTACCTGCACGGCTTCTCAATGGTGCATCGGGATGTGAAGCCAGCAAACATTCTCCTGGACGGCAACTGGCAGGTGCGCGTGTGTGAGTCAATTGGTATATGTTGTTTTATCACACTCAGCACTGAGGGGCCTGGAGTACTTGCACGGCTTCTCAATGGTGCATCGGGATGTGAAGCCAGCAAACATTCTCCTGGACGGCAACTGGCAGGTGCGTGTGTGTGAGTCAATTGGTAGATGTTTTATCACACCTAGCAGCGAGGGGCCTGGAGTACCTGCACGGCTTCTCAATGGTGCACCGAGTCGTGAAGCCAGCCAACATCCTGTTATACCGTTTCCCTTTTTGAGTCGACTCAAAAGTGCACCGAGTCGTGAAGCCAGCCAACATCCTGTTATACCGTTTCCCTTTTTGAGTCGACTCAAAAGTGCACCGAGTCGTGAAGCCAGCCAACATCCTGTTATACCGTTTCCCTTTTTGAGTCGACTCAAAAGTGCACCGAGTCGTGAAGCCAGCCAACATCCTGTTATACCGTTTCCCTTTTTGAGTCGACTCAAAAGTGCACCGAGTCGTGAAGCCAGCCAACATCCTGTTATACCGTTTCCCTTTTTGAGTCGACTCAAAAGTGCACCGAGTCGTGAAGCCAGCCAACATCCTGTTATACCGTTTCCCTTTTTGAGTCGACTCAAAAGTGCACCGAGTCGTGAAGCCAGCCAACATCCTGTTATACCGTTTCCCTTTTTGAGTCGACTCAAAAGTGCACCGAGTCGTGAAGCCAGCCAACATCCTGTTATACCGTTTCCCTTTTTGAGTCGACTCAAAAGTGCACCGAGTCGTGAAGCCAGCCAACATCCTGTTATACCGTTTCCCTTTTTGAGTCGACTCAAAAGTGCACCGAGTCGTGAAGCCAGCCAACATCCTGTTATACCGTTTCCCTTTTTGAGTCGACTCAAAAGTGCACCGAGTCGTGAAGCCAGCCAACATCCTGTTATACCGTTTCCCTTTTTGAGTCGACTCAAAAGTGCACCGAGTCGTGAAGCCAGCCAACATCCTGTTATACCGTTTCCCTTTTTGAGTCGACTCAAAAGTGCACCGAGTCGTGACCGTTTCCCTTTTTGAGTCGACTCAAAAGTGCACCGAGTCGTGAAGCCAGCCAACATCCTGTTATACCGTTTCCCTTTTTGAGTCGACTCAAAAGTGCACCGAGTCGTGAAGCCAGCCAACATCCTGTTATACCGTTTCCCTTTTTGAGTCGACTCAAAAGTGCACCGAGTCGTGAAGCCAGCCAACATCCTGTTATACCGTTTCCCTTTTTGAGTCGACTCAAAAGTGCACCGAGTCGTGAAGCCAGCCAACATCCTGCTATACCGTTTCCCTTTTTGAGTCGACTCAAAAGTGCACCGAGTCGTGAAGCCAGCCAACATCCTGTTATACCGTTTCCCTTTTTGAGTCGACTCAAAAGTGCACCGAGTCGTGAAGCCAGCCAACATCCTGTTATACCGTTTCCCTTTTTGAGTCGACTCAAAAGTGCACCGAGTCGTGAAGCCAGCCAACATCCTGTTATACCGTTTCCCTTTTTGAGTCGACTCAAAAGTGCACCGAGTCGTGAAGCCAGCCAACATCCTGTTATACCGTTTCCCTTTTTGAGTCGACTCAAAAGTGCACCGAGTCGTGAAGCCAGCCAACATCCTGTTATACCGTTTCCCTTTTTGAGTCGACTCAAAAGTGCACCGAGTCGTGAAGCCAGCCAACATCCTGTTATACCGTTTCCCTTTTTGAGTCGACTCAAAAGTGCACCGAGTCGTGAAGCCAGCCAACATCCTGTTATACCGTTTCCCTTTTTGAGTCGACTCAAAAGTGCACCGAGTCGTGAAGCCAGCCAACATCCTGTTATACCGTTTCCCTTTTTGAGTCGACTCAAAAGTGCACCGAGTCGTGAAGCCAGCCAACATCCTGTTATACCGTTTCCCTTTTTGAGTCGACTCAAAAGTGCACCGAGTCGTGAAGCCAGCCAACATCCTGTTATACCGTTTCCCTTTTTGAGTCGACTCAAAAGTGCACCGAGTCGTGAAGCCAGCCAACATCCTGTTATACCGTTTCCCTGCACAGCTTTCTGCCAACCGTTTCCCTTCCCACGTGAAAGACACTCTTCTTTCGCGTAGTTGCCTGCAATACCTGCACAGCTCTCTGCCTACCGTTTTGACTTTTGAGTCGACTCAAAGTCCAACTTGCCTGCAACAATACCTGCACAGCTTTCTGCCTACCGTTTCCGTTCCCACAGGCGAAGATAGCTGACTTCAAGCTAGACAAAAATGGGAGAGGGCAACGCGTACAGCCCTCAGGACCGCCAGACTTCTTATCATGCATCCAACTGTTTTCTCCTGCGCTGTTCCTCCCACAGGCCAAGATAGCTGACTTCGGGTTGACCAAGATGGGAGAGGGCAACGCATACAACTCGCAGGGCTCCACTCGAGTGCTCGGCACGCCGGGCTATGTGGTGTGGACCCAGTGTATGGGCGCACTACAATACACCACTTCCCTCAGGGGAAGTGATGACTGCCGACTTGTGATTCTTACCTTACCTTTCCTCTTCCATTTTCTCCCTGCCCTTGTCCTTCCACAGGCCAAGATAGCTGATTTCGGGCTGACCAAGATGGGAGAGGGCAACGCATACAACCCTCAGGACTCCACTCGAGTGCTCGGCACTCCCGGCTATGTTGACCCTGTGTATGGGCGCACACGCAAGGCCACCCCCGCAAATGACGTGTTCAGGTGGGAACGATGAGTGATGTGCTGTGTGATGTGCGTGTGCCTTGTTGTTTGAGGAGCAACAGAGCATGCAGAGAGTGCTCGGTCGGCACTCCCGGCTATGTGGACCCTGTGTATGGGCGCACCAGCAAAGCCATCCCTGCTAATGACGTGTTCAGGTGGGAACGAACGATTTGTGATGTGCGGGGTCACTTACAGAAAGTGTAACGTACTCATCACGCCAGGCTATGTGGATCCTGTGTATGGCCGCACCCGCACGGCCACCCCTGCTAATGACGTCTTCAGGTGGGAACAAGCTATGTGTGATGTGTGATGTGTGATGTGAGATGTGTGTTCAGGGGGGAACAACGTGTGATACACACCGTGTGAACATCCGCCCACCACTCCTTTACTCCACCGTGGCATGCCTCAATTATTCTTCCCCCTTGCTTCCAATCTAGTTTTGAGGCGCCTCAAAACTAGACTAATCTGTCACACTCCCACCACCACCCCACCGTGGCATGCCTCAATTATTCTTCCCCCTTGCTTCCAATCTAGTTTTGAGGCGCCTCAAAACTAGACTAATCTGTCACACTCCCACCACCACCCCACCGTGGCATGCCTCAATTATTCTTCCCCCTTGCTTCCAATCTAGTTTTGAGGCGCCTCAAAACTAGACTAATCTGTCACACTCCCACCACCACCCCACCGTGGCATGCCTCAATTATTCTTCCCCCTTGCTTCCAATCTAGTTTTGAGGCGCCTCAAAACTAGACTAATCTGTCACACTCCCACCACCACCCCACCGTGGCATGCCTCAATTATTCTTCCCCCTTGCTTCCAATCTAGTTTTGAGGCGCCTCAAAACTAGACTAATCTGTCACACTCCCACCACCACCCCACCGTGGCATGCCTCAATTATTCTTCCCCCTTGCTTCCAATCTAGTTTTGAGGCGCCTCAAAACTAGACTAATCTGTCACACTCCCACCACCACCCCACCGTGGCATGCCTCAATTATTCTTCCCCCTTGCTTCCAATCTAGTTTTGAGGCGCCTCAAAACTAGACTAATCTGTCACACTCCCACCACCACCCCACCGTGGCATGCCTCAATTATTCTTCCCCCTTGCTTCCAATCTCCCACCATTTCCAAAGTTTTCTCTCTTGGCACCTTCGGCATTGTGATGCTGGAGCCTCCGCAGCCCACCTGTCCGCTCTTGACGGCATTGTGATGCTAGAGCTTCGACGGGGCAAAGGGCCATCGCGCCAGTGTCTAAAGATTTTAGTTCTGAGACGTCTGAACAAACACTCTCTCTCCCCCTGCCTTTGTTCTCCCCATCTGCCTTTGTTCTCCCCATCTGCCTTTGTTCTCCCATCTGCCCTTGTTCTCGCCCTATGCTTCCAATCATCCTGGTTGCAGCTTCGGCATTTTGATGCTAGAGCTTCTGACGGGGCAAAGAGCCATTGTGTCGGTGTCTAAAGTTTTTAGTTCTGAGACGTCTGAACAAACACTCTCTTCCCCCCTCCCTTTGTTCTCCCCCTGTGCTCCCACTTTTCCTCTTGGCAGCTTCGGCATTGTGATGCTGGAGCTTCTGACGGGGCAAAGGGCCATCGTGTTGGTGTCTAAATACGAAGACCCGATCAACATCAGCAAATGGGTATGGCTTCACCAACAATAAACACACAAATACATGTGAAATTAAATTCCATGATGCAGTGTTCATCCAATCACGGTTTCACCTGCTCAGACCTCCAATATTGCATTATCTTCCTTACATATTAATATTTCATTCCTGCCTGGCCTTCTTTTACGCTTCCATACAGGCTGCCCCGTTAGTGGAACGTGGCGACGTAGCTGCCTTCAAGGATCCTCATCTAGAAGCTCCAGATGACGTCATTCTCCGGCTTGCACGGCTCGCCATGACATGCACTGCCACTCCGGCCATGTCCCGGCCTCGAATGGTGAAGATAGTGGTGGATCTTGAAGGGATTAAGGAAGAGCTGTTCAAGTATGGCACGATGATGTTCGAAGAGGAGCCTGCAGTGCCAAATCAGTCGTTGACTCAAGCCATTTCCCAGGTTGAGGTTATTGTGAGTGAAAATGCTAATTTAAGTGATAAGTCTAGCTCGTAAATTATCTATAGGGTGGATGAACTTGGTTACTGCTCATGTTGAAGCTAGTGTCCGTCTATACAACAATTTTTAATACATTATACCCCCATATTGCCTGGCTTGCAGTCCCCAACCAAGAAGTGCAAGTGCATTTTGAATTAATGTGGAATAAAGTGGAATATACTTCTGATTTGCTACACCTGAATAGGCGATCCTAATCTTGACCGTGAGTCTACTTCCTCCCTGCTTTACTGGAGGCTAGCCATAACAATTGGCTTATCTGATCACGTGGCCAATCCTTCGTGGAAATTAACAAAACCACGTGGTTCTCTGGAGACTTCGCACGCACTGTACAGTGCTGTGAACTG